GGGAGGCCGGTGGCCGCGGGAGGCGAGCCCCGCTCCCCGCTCCGCGCTCCCGGTGGGGGACCCCGTGTGAAGGGCGCGCGGCGGGACCGGGGCTCCGCAGCCCGCGCCGCGCGCGGAGATTTTCCGTTCAGTCCCGCGCGGGAGCCCTTGGAGTTGTCGTTGCCAGCTCGGCCCGGCCCCGCTGGGCCTCCGCTGTCCCCTAAAACGCGTTAGCCCTCTCGGCTCGCGCTGCCTGGTAGTGTCCCAGCCCAGACCGGCCAGGTCTTTCCCCGACGGCTGTGGGGACATTAGTGGTGTGTCCCCGTGCCGCTGCTCTGGGCAGGCGACGCTGGATTCTAGAACCGAGTCCGAGGGCTGAAGAAGCCAGACTTCTGTCCTCCGTCTGCCTTCCAGGAGCGACTCTTATCCGGGCCGGGCCGTCTTGGTTGAGAGTGTCGTGCCCCTGTGAGTGCTCCTTTCCCGGCCGTGACCCCTTTTCCTGCCTTCGCCAGAGGGAGACCCGGGGAAAGGAAACGACCCGAAATCTCAGCCTTTCCGCGTCCCGTTTGCTGGTTCATGAAAAGTTAATGGGCAGCCGCGTGAGGTCACTGGCTTAAAACCAGCCACCTGGATCCCGCTTTTTACTGTGTTGCCACGGCAAATAAAAGCCTGTTACTTAGACGGTAGATTTTTAAACAATTCTAACCCATTTTTAAAAATTGTCACTGAGGAGGTCTTGGGGTAGAGAACACTCATTTTCGTCTTTCGTCAAGTTCTGTTTGTTGATACAGCACTCAGATTTGTTCAATGTGCTTTTTTCCCCCCAGTCGAGAAAAATATCTGTATTTGCGAGTATAAATACGGAAGTGCCAGGAGAGATAAAGTTAGTATTCAGCATCTCTGGGTGAGTTCAGACGGTACTTGTTCAGTTGTGGGCACTCCATAAATTTTAATTGAATGAACTTAAAGCAGTGAATTTCATGGGTACCAGAAGTTTGATATGACTTATGATTTTTGAAAGGAAAAAAAAAA